GAAATAAACTTTTTCCAATTTGTAGGCATTTTTAATTCACTATTTATATAAGGAAGTTATTTATTGTAAATGCTCAAATAAAAATGTCAGAAACGTACATCTGCATTTCACACTGTTTTATTAAATCATTAGTTTATGGATTATAATGAAACGACCACCCCCCCAAAAAAAAATAAAATAAAATAAATAAATCCTTGTATTCTAGGAATGACTCAGGCCAATCGATTTAAAAATCAGACATGGTCCTTGAACATTCTCGTGTCATTGGTGCGAAACTCCCATAAACACATTTGAAGAGTCGCAAAGAGCTCGGACAATGTGGAGCAACGGGGTGTGGTTTTGATATAAAACACTGACGAGTGGTCTGACAGGTTCTGCGTACAAGCGAGCGCTTGCCTTGCACGCATCTTTCTATTAATCTAAGCATGACATTGACTTGCGTTCCAATTCTTGTGACCTCTGCTCACCTTCAACATTTGCGCAAGTTTATGTGCGTTACACACTTTGCACCGATGCGCATGCCTCCTGTAGGTTTACACACCACTGTGGAATTTGCCACAGTGGCAAAGAATGAAAGTCTGCTCTTCCCACCCCCACTTCATCGTGTTTCTGCTATTGGCTCGGCATGGGGGCTCAGCATGGTGGGGGGATTATGGGATGAGGAAGAACAAAGAAGATGGGAGCGGCGGGAATGAGAAAGGGAAAGGACGACTTGTAGATGGAACCAAAGCGGGCTCGGTGAAAGTCAAAGTAAAGGGACGTGATAGGATGTTGAAACGGCGCCAACGGTGTTTGGAATTCACCCGCAAAGAACCCGAGGAGGCTCCGTGTGAAGATTTGACAGGAGGATTATGAAGCAAGCGACACAAGCCTGCTCATGTTGGCTTGGACAACAACAGAAGGCGCTGTAGCTAGGGAAGAAAGAAAAAGAGATTTGGGGAGGATTCCAGGACGAGTGCATTGCTGGGGCCCACCGGTGGAGACCCCTCAGTGACGGTGAAGGAAAGAGTTTGCTGGCTGCCCTTTTGTTTTGTCCCTGGGGCCACATGTACGTGCGTGTCGGCCTTCTGTCCATGAAATATATTTGACATCTTGAAAGAAAATGTACTTCACTGAGAGAATGCTGCAAGTTGTTTGGATCCATCCGAAAGTGTATTTGATTCGTATGGGCGGCATGATGGCACGTCCGCCCCATGGTCAAAAGGTTCTGGGTTTGAATCTCAGCTTTGGTCTTTCCTTGTGTGGACTTTGCATGTTCTCCCCGTGCTGGCGAGCGCTTCTCCCACATTCCAAAAGCGTGCGCGTTAGGTTGTTTGTAGGTTCTAAAAGGCGAATGGATGTTTTCTCCTCATGTGCCCTGTCATTGACTAGCAACTAGTCCTGTGTGTACCCTGCCTCTCACCCAAATACCGCTGGAATAGACCGCTACTCTGAACAGAATAAGAATTAGAGATTAATGCACAGATTTATCAGTCAAAATACGTTAAGTGGCTATTATGTCTGTGATATAGAACAAAACAGTGAGCAACTATCAATTAGAAATGTCACGTGATGTTTTTCCCCCCCACCCAACTTCAAAGAGAGGGCCTCTGTGGTTAAGCAGTTTCTGTGTGTGCGTGTGCGTGTGTGTGTGTGTGTGTGTGTGTGTGTGTGTGTTTGAAACATTAAGAGTCACAATGACCCACCATACTTTTTGTGAGCATTGTCATGTGTGAGCACACTTGTAATTGGTTCTCACAAGGACATTTCGCTTTCTTTTCAAAGACAACTTCATTGACTTATGCTGTAGAAAGACGACAAGCGCTGCATTTTCCACCACTCGAGCCCAAAATGGCGGAATAGAACAAAACCGAATGAGGATAAAAGGAGTGGTGATGCTTTTGTGACCGCGAGCAGTGAAGCCTCATTAATACGAGAGTAGACGTGCATAATTGGTTGGTTAGATTGTGTGTAAAAGTTGATTTCATCACACCTTGTGTGCACTTCTTGCCTGCGGTGGCTTTTGAGTCACGCTCAAGTCGAATGGTCTCTAAAGAAGTTGTGCTGGATTGCATGAATACAGCACAAGGATGGGGACAGACTGAAGGGTTTTCACATCGCAGGCCGAAGCCGTGGTCACAAGTCGGTGTCAAAAGTTCAAGAGGAAATCAGCCTTTTCAGCCAAAAAAAAAAAAAAAGTTCTCCAAGAGGTATGACGCGTGTGTGTTTCATCAGCATTCTCGGCTGTGACGTGCTTTGTCGAGGTTAATCCGAGGCTGCGATTTGAAGGCGAAATCCACAGGTGACTCTGAGTCACTGGTTCTTCACGTTCAAAACGTTCCCAACACTGAGCAGCTGTCTGAAAAATCCACGAACAATAACACTGATTATTTGGATCATTTACTGACGACTGACACGATCTGATATTGCTCTGGTAACGTGGCTTCCTGTACAGTAAACATACTTTATGTACAGTGGGTATAAAAAGTCTACACAAACCTTGTTCAAATGCCAGATTTTTCTGGTGTTCAAATAAAAATGAAACGGACAGCAATCATTTCAAAGGTTTTCCCACCATTAATGTGGCCAATGACCTCTATAGCTCAGGAAAAAAAAATTGTTTTGGTTTCATCAGGCTATAACGCATTTTGCCTCGTGTGTGTGAGATATCAGATGTGTTTTTGCAATAATTTGAACCCACTTTTTGGCCATACGTTCGGCATGAACACAATATGACTCGTCACCAAGAGAATACCACACCGACAGTAACCATGGTGGGGGCAGTGTCATGCTTTTGGTGCGTTTGTTTTTTTTTTTTTTTTTTTTTTAATTTCCCCCCATCTTACTTTATGAATAAAAATATCCCAGTGTTTGTCAGCAAAAAAAACCCCAAAAAAACTTAAGTCTTTTGCTGGAAAGCAAACAAAAAGTCAAGAAAATCCTGTTAGAACAGCATTATTTGTGGTTAATGAGAGGTGTATTTTTTTTTATTCCCCCATCTTACTTTATGAATAAAAATATCCCAGTGTTTGTCAGCAAAAAAACAAAACAAAAAAACTTAAGTCTTTTGCTGGAAGGCAAACAAAAAGTCAAGAAAATCCCGTTAGAACAGCATTATTTGTGGTTAATGAGAGGTGTTTTGAATGGTAGCAGGTGTGCGCTGATAGGCTCCCACTTACACCCTTAAAATTAGGGTGGCCCCGTGCGGGGACGTCCGTCATCTGTCAAAACAAATCGCTGATGCACGTCGTCATGTGTGAACATGTTATACATCTTTTAAAAGCTGAGTTTCTGGAGATTTGAATGGTAACCCTACATGTTACAATTGTCAAATTTGAACCGACGCTTGGGGAGACTTAACCCATAAGAGCCCACGGTGACACCAGTGTAACAAACAGTTTGAACTCCCCAGTGTCTTTTTTCAAAACTTTTTGTCTGATTTTAACCCACCAGAACCTTTTGGAAAAATGGGTCTGGGCTCTTATGGGTTAAGCTTTGATCCTGCAGTGTTTTCAAGTCCTAATCAACATTTTAAATCCATTTTCAAGGCAGATATTTTGAAAAGAAATTAGACGAACATAAGATTCGCCTTTTTCTTCTGTTTTCAAACATCCATAGTTCCGAGACAGGAGCACTTAAACAAATTCTTACTGTATGGGAGAAATCTTCATAATGTGACATTTTGAATATTTCAAAAAGTGACCAAAACTATGCTGATACTCCAAATGGTTCAGGAATAGCTAAAAATTGACTTTGGGTGCACCTTTCTACAGGCGTTTTCGTCAAAGTTGCCCTCGGTTTAGGGAGTTAACATGAGTTTGAATGTGGTTGGTTACTGGTAATTCCGAGCCACATCCCCAGCTTGAAGAGGATGTGCATACTTGTGCAACCACATTCATCTCAGCTATTTTGTTTCAATATTTTTAGTATGAATTTGATCACGGTTAGTTTTTCTGATGAACTTAAATTGTGACTAAGGCAACATTTGTCAGTACTAAACATGCAGCAAGTATTTCGAATAAGGCAACCCCCTTTTTTAATGTGCAACTTTGGTGTTCAACCAAACAAAAACTGAATAGTTGTGCTTTTTTTCCCATCATTATAATCCAGCTTTTTACAGTAATGACAGTCACAATGCATGCACATGGAATAAAGGTTTTATGATGGCGACCGTTTTGGAATTTGCATTGAACAAATTTACATTATTTCTCAGCTGGAACATAGTTTTCACTCTTTCACTTTGTTCCACATTGGAGATTTTATTGTATTTGTAACATCCTTCTGTTCGGTGTCACTTTACCCAATTGACTGACAGAATGCTTACAACTTTGGAGTGACAAAAGGGCTTGAAGTCAAATCCAGCTTCTTTTTCAAGTCAACAAAGGGCCGCTGCGGATATTGCTGCGCAGCGACTGTTTTATTGTGACAGAATTTCCACGCCGCAGCTGTGGAAAGAATGCAGGCGAGGAGCGCAGAGATATTGCCGGCATGTAAACACGGCGGTGATAGGAGGACTTGCCGCAGCTTTCACGGCTATAAATTGAAAGATTATTTTCATGTTTCACATTCTCTCGTTCCTGTTTTCGGTGAATTGTCCAACATTACTTCCAAATCACGTAGGTTGGTGTGGAAAGAAAAAAAAAAAAGCTCTGACTGCAGAAGTCAAAATAAATAACACCGATGACGTGCGTGCTTTGTCCATTTGATTTGTCACACACACGCGCACGCTAATCTGTTGCTTGCGTCAAAGCCCCAACTGAACGCTGTCCTTGCTCTTCAGATAAAACACACCAGTTTCAGACAGTACGGCTCTGTTTTACAACCTCACACTTTAGTCAATGTTTTATGAATGGGCTTTGTCAGTGCGGCTCGCCCGGCCTGAAAGGGGAGGATCTGACCAATGTCTACTAAAGTGCGCGTGGTGAAGTGCATTTTACCCACTCGGTGCTAAACTTGACAGAGCGACTGGCGAGCGTTCCATATTAGATCTCGACAATGACGGCCTTCTGTTTCTCTTCCAGAATAAGCCGTGGCATAAGTTGAAGACCATGGTGCACTGGTCCCCCTTCGTCGTGTCCTTCAAGAAGCGCTACCCGTGGGTGCAGCTCGCCGGCCATGCAGGTTTGTTTATGAAGCGCAAGCCACGCGTGAATCCGTCGTACAAACATGAAGGCGTTTTAATCTTCAATCTCCTCATACTCGTTTAGGTAACTTCCAGGCCGGCGAGAACGGTCGCCTATTAAAGCGATACTGCGAGTGCGAGCAGCAATGTCTCCAGAAGCTGATGAAGGACACTCTTCGGCCGTACGTGCCCGGTTATTACGGGGTGGTGCAAAGAGACGAGCAGGACTACAATCTGATGGACGACCTGCTGGCTGATTTTGATTCGCCGTCCATCATGGATTGTAAAATGGGCAGCAGGTAAGACTACGCTTCACTGTTCCCACTGCATGGGTGACGGTTACTGTATCTGTAATCCACCTTGATAAATGCAAAAGGCAAAGCTGAGCGTAAGCGTTCTTGCTATCGTGTGGGTAGAAATGACATTTTTGCCGTTACAATGCTTCTCAACTTTTTGTAAAAACCAATTTTTACTGCCTTCTCACCCCCTAAAACTGATGCGTTAGAAATACACAATCCCTCGACTTTCCCCAAAATTGCAGTTTTAAGTAAAACTTTGCGGATATCAAACATCATTCCTAAAAAAAAAGTAATAATTTCTATAGTTTATAGGCAGCTTAAAAAAACGATATGTGGTTGGCTTGAGAATTAACACGTGTTCCAATTAGAAATCCGTCAGTAGCAGAGTCCACAGTCTAAATCGCAATATAGCGGGGGATAAAATAGCAACTAATTAGCATTTTAATAATCGAGTAATCTGTTGATTATTTTGTCACTTAATGGATGACGGATGAATCGGATTAAAATAAAAAACATTTAGAAAATGTTAATTCCGATCCCTTTATTCAACAACGGGACATTATATTTCAAATTAACAGTGCAGAAAATGCCCAAACATGTATTAATTATGATTTAGTTACTGCTTTGGTCCGTAACGAGTCCGAAAATAGGCGTAAGTGTTGCTTATTGTTCTCCAAATGAGATGTTTGTAAATGCCCTATTTTGATTCATCATATGGATAGGCCTGATCCATCTGCTTTCATTGGGGTCAACAGAAATATTTCCTTCTCGAGAAGCTGAAATCAGAAGATTTGGACAAACAGTTCAGCAAATAAAATCCATCATTCATGTGAAAAACGTCGACTTTCTACTATGCTCAAGGACCTATTTGGAGGAGGAGCTGATGAAAGCGAGAGAGCACCCGCGCTTGCGCAAGGACATGTACGACAAGATGGTCGCCGTGGACCCCGGTGCCCCCACCGAACAGGAGAGGGCCCAGCAGGGCGTGCTCAAGCCCAGATACATGCAGTGGAGGGAGACGCTCAGCTCCACCGCCACGCTTGGCTTCCGCATCGAGGGTATCAAGGTCAGTAATTCAACTGAGCGGCAGATTCTTCATTTAAATGCTTTCCGCAATTCTTCACAGTGTGGAAAAGATGAATTTTCCCATTTTGGAATCGGGCTTTTAACGTACCAAAATGTGGGAAAAGAGAAGCTCTGTGAATATATTATGAATGCACAGTACATACTGAATTGAATGGGAGACCTCATTCGTGGTTCTTTTCTTCTGCAGAAAGCTGATGGCACCTGCAACACCAATTTTAAGACCACCAAACTCAAGGAGCAAGTGATGCGGGCCCTGGAGGACTTTGTTGACGGAAACACTGAGACTCTGGTGGGTTTCCAGTCAGCGTTGATTTGAAAAATACTTTTTTTCCGGCAATCAAAAGCAGTTCCCGGGTGTCTAAAATGCTCCAAAGTATTAGGAATTACTTTACACCTCTGCGATATTTTGCCTTCATAAAATTAGCTGGTTTTGAGAGGTGGCCTTGTCCTAAGCAAGGGAGTCACCTGTTATCCCACCCTGTATGTTGCTGAGACCGGTTTTCATGACCATGAACACTGGGGAGGAACCTGAGCTTTGTGACTACAGAGTATTCACGGGGTGCCTCTTGTCATCTTGCTGTCAACTGTATATGTATTAGTGGGCTGGACTTCACCAATGAGTATATGCCGAATAGTGTGGGCTTGATCTCGCCAGTGAGTGTGCGCGTGTTCCAGCTAATGTTTGGCTGTCACTTCTTGGCTTTCAAACACGACTTGAGCCCGAGCATTGCAACTACAGAGGCTTTGCGTGCTGCCTCTCGCCATCTCGCCAGCAAGTGTATGCGTAACAGCGGACTTGATCTCGCCGGCAAGTGTGCATGTATTGGCCGGCGTTTGGCCAATTCCTCTTGACTATAAAGTACTGTTTTAATATTCTGAACCATGCTACAATTGTAAGACTAAGCTAACTAGTGGAAAATAAAATTAAAGTAAACTACCGGTACTCACACTGGGGAACAGAAAAGTGTGCAATACTGTCATCTGTTGGCTTTTTATCTGTAATGTGTGTCTGACATAAAGATGGCATATTGTTTAGGCCAGACCACGCCCCTTTATGGTGGCTGAGGAAAATGTAAAAAAAAAATTGCACAAGTAAAACATGTACTATTTGTGTTTTGAAGTTTAGGTTTGTCGACCAATAGAGATGCTCTCTTGTGCACATGATGTATTTTCATGGGCTATTTATCGATGCACTTTTAAACTTCCTTTACCTGCCTTTTCCTTGAATCCGCCTTTTGTAAATTTGTTAACTTCTAAATGAGTTTGGATTTTTAAAAATAATTTGTAAAATTGTCTCTTACATTATAATTGTGCTTTGAATTTTTGGAGGCCATTTTCTCCCTCAAAGCCATTTTTTAAAAAATGTTTTGAATCTCTTTTTTTTCCATATTCACATTTTTTTCCCGCATTTTTGTCATTATTTATCTCAGCCACCACACCCTTATGTCTCACTAAGTTTCACTTCCTGTTTTTTCTTTATTCTTACACTTTTCCTCTTCACCATTCCTGGTACCCTTCTTGTGGCTCCAGAGGAAAAGCCAAAGAAAAAGCAAATGAGATTCTTTGCTCCTGTCACACAAAATGAAAATTTGAACCCCCATGTTTAGTTTTATTTTTTTTGGGGGGGAGGGGGGGGACATGTTTTTCCTAGAAGTTTCTAAACCGTAACACTTTTGGAGCATTGGACTTTGGCGGATCCACTGTGTACTGTATAAACAAACAGCTGTCAGTCAAACATTTTAAAGCTTTTGTTGTTTTCCATTCTATTCATTCAGAACTTGTACCTGCAACGCTTAGAGGAGCTGCGGACCGTGCTGGAGCAGTCACATTTCTTCAAGACGCATGAGGTAACATTCACACAATCCTAAACAAACCTGTTGCCTTGAGTTTTGAGATTTGGTGATATTTCACCCTGATTTGCTTCCATGCGATTTGTATCGACCTCAGTGGAGGGAAATAATGAAGGACAAATAAATGTATGTAATATATTAATATCTTATTAATGTAGTGGTACACATTTAATTTGTTCAGTGACCATGCTCGGAATGCAAAACTGGCTTGCAAATCATCTTTGCTCTCTGAAATGAATAGAAACGCCAGTCAGCCGTTCCAGCCCCACAAAAAACATCACCACAAAGTTTTGTGTCATGTTTTTTAGTAAGAAAAATGGCACCTTGTGATATTGTCATCCAAAAAAAAACAGAGTGACAATTAAGAATTTCTCAGTTTGTGCATTAGGATTTTATGCTTCAATGCCCATTGATGTGCTCCTTCTGGTGTGCGCACCTTGGCCAAGGGCAATTCGTCTATTTGAACATATGACACGAAGAAATGCTCGCAATGCAAAACTGACTTGCAAATCATCTTTGCTCTCTGAAATGAATAGAAACCGCCATTCAGCCGTTCCAGCCCCACAAAAAAACACCAACAGAAAGTTTTGTGTCATGTTTTTTAGCAAGAAAAATGGCACCTTGTGATATTGTCATCAAAAAAAGAACAGCGTGACAATTAAGAATTTCTCAGTTTGTGCATTAGGATTTTATGCTTCAATGCCCATTGATGTGCTCCTTCTGGTGTGCGCACCTTGGCCAAGGGCAATTCGTCTATTTGAACATATGACACGAAGAAGAGTTTCACAACTAAATTACTCAGCAAGGTGGAGTAATATTAGTTTTTTGTCAAGGATAAATATTATATGCCTGTGAATATTGTGACATTATGTCTCAATGTGTTGCTTCACTGTTCAGATATCGGTTTCCTAATAAGTATGGTGGTATGCGACTTTTGTTGGCTATGTTTTGCATTGTGTGTTAGTGTTAAGCTAATGGAGTTTTGTAAGCTATGTGGTTTGTTGAATACATGTGTGATTCTGTTTGTTTTACGTTTCAACTTCAACCAAGAATGGCAGTAAACAGTTATTGTTAGCTAGATGAGCATTTTTTTCTTGCTCTACTTAGAATATTAGCAAATCTATGGGAACATGTTTTAATACCATAAAAGTCAGGCCATTGCTTAGCTAGCGCGTATTAAAAAATATATAATAAAATGTTATGATGTGATTTTCTCTTTTGTTTTCAATTGAAGTATACTGTAAGTTAATGAAAGATGTGCCTTCTTCCAAAAGTCTATTCTTCCTCGAGTATCTGTACTTCTACTTCGGTCGAGTGAGTGAATACTTTTTTCCGCCTGTGATCTTGCAGGTGGTGGGCAGCTCTCTACTGTTTGTACACGATGCTTCGGGGAAGGCCCGCGTGTGGATGATTGACTTCGGCAAGACGGTACCTCTGCCCGCCCACAGGACCTTGGACCACCGGACCCCTTGGGTAGAGGGCAACCAGGAGGACGGCTATATGTGGGGGCTGGACAACCTCATAGATATCTTTGGCTCCATGCTGCCGCAGGTGTCCTGAGCTGGAGAACCTCAAGACCTCTCAATGATAAAACTGGAAGAAGTGCTGATTGCGGACTGAAGCCACTTAAGCAAGATAGGACTTTAATGGCTAAGTGGATTGCAGCCTTGTTCATGTTGTCGGCGCCTTTGGAGACAACATCACAGCCTCCACTGGGGTTATTTTGCCTCCTTTCACGGTTTGCAAATAAAGACACAGCAACACTAAAACACTGATTATTGAACCATGTCAATGACAAGTGTAAATGCAAATTTAATTTTCCTGCCTTTTATAAAACCCTTTGTACAATTTTTCTATGGGTAACTTTTTAAAAGAAAGATCATTCATGCTAATTTTCTTCTACCTTGAACCCTCTTAACAGAACAATGATGAACGTGCTCTGCTCCCCCGCTCCCCTTGATTGATCTAAATACAAGCAGCAACTATGTTTGTTTGGAACTTGCTGCACTATGCATCCTAACGAACGCCTTCGATCAAA